TAAACTATTGCAACCTTAATAAAGAGACTTTTAATAGATTTATTCTATAATGTTGTGTTTTTAAAAAATAGTCCACCCATACTTATATTTAGACAACCTTTAATTGTATCCAACTCTTCATCTGCCTGTTTCCTTTAGGTGAATTATTCTATATTCAACTTTAAACATCCTTTTATAGTTCTAATTATTAATGCATCTTATTATTAGAGCTTTTTATGGATATGAAATAGTTAATGCGTTTAAGACAATTCCCGCAGATTAGTAAATTTATTTAAAATTTGTATATTTACAGTTATTTACTGCGACGATGGCCTTGAATATTTGACGGTTAATAATTAATTTATTTATTATGAGTCCTTTAGAAATAAATATTATTTTTCACTTAAAGATATACTTGAAATTTATCGTACGGAATTACACTTATATAAGGAAGATTTCGAACAAATATATCATTATTTGTATAAAACAAATTTATTAATAAATGTTCTAAAATCAATCAAATTACTCGATAACTAACTATTTTGTAGAGAAAAAATAGTTCTAATTTTAATTAACAGCCAACATACTTTTTTCTACCGATTCAATATTATTGATATAATAGATTTGAAATCTATTAGTTTAGTTAAGTAGGTCTTCTGAAATCCAAAATAATCTTGAAAGAATATTTTAATAGGAATTTAAACATCAGTCATTTAGGAGGGTTGAATGTCAGATTATTTAATTAAAAGAAAGGCAAAAAAAAGTAAAACATGTACAGATCTTAAATAAATTCAGTTTACACAAAAACCTTTTGGAAAGATTATTATTTTGTGTAAGTGTAAATTTAATCATGTATTCAAAAGTCAAATTTTAATTAAAAGCCATGCCATATTTATACATAAATTTCAGAAAAAAAAGAATTTTTAAACACTTATTACACCCATAATAAACTCTGAATAATTAATTTGACGAATAATTTAAATTTAAATATCAACAATTTAATTTACTTTTTCTTCAGCTTATTCTTTACACCTTAATGTAATCAAATCTGAATCTAAGCAGTATAAATCGTGTTTATGAAAAAAAATGATTTAAAAAGGATTGAATCTTTATCATACTAATCAGATGGGATTAGTATAATAACATTTTTATCAATTTAAAATTAATAATGTAATTGTTTTGATCTTACTACAAAAATATAAAGTAAATGTTCTGATTCTTAATTGTTCTTTTTGTTTTGTATCGTTAATATGGTATATTATTTTATTAATTTGGATGGGATTTATGGGATTAAATGAAACAAAAGGAAAACTAAATACTCTTACTCATGAATGAAATCCAAAATTAAAATTACCTTTTTTATTTTCTGATAGACAATTACCTAATAACTAATAAATTAGATTAAGCTATTGGTTTTGCTACTTATTTCAATACTCTCTATATAAGTATATTGTATACATTCTGTAAATATTATGAAAAAAATATTATCAAAATTGACTTCCTAAACTTAAATGGAGTTTATCAGTTTTAATAAATTTATATTTTTAATTGATAACACCAGTGATATTTTTTTATAACATTTTTTGGTATTTTGATGCTTCATAGAGTTTTAATATCTGCTTTCAGCTTATTATTCTATGAAGGAATCTAAACTTTCATTGAAGATAGCAAATTAATTTTGGTTTGTAGAAAAAATTTAATAAAAAATATACTTATTTTATTAACAATAATATAGAATAATTAACTGAACCTTAATTTTATTAGGAAATAATTCCAGATAATATTATTTATTAATTTGTGAAAATTCTCTATTGTTTCTAATTGATCGTCAATTACTTTAGAATAATTAATTTTCATATATTCTTACATCAATTGGTATTCTAAATATTATCAGATTTAATAATAGTAAAGAGATCAAGAATAAATATAATAGGAGATATAATTACTGTAATAATAATAATAATATTTATAGTATAGTTAATTTATTAAATTAAATTTTTTAAATTTTAATTAAATATTTTAGAATCACTATTTTTAATTAATATCAACAAAAAATAAAGGCTGAGTTTTAAGTATCATAAATGACTCCATCACCATTTGTAATTTTAACATTGAATTAATCTACTTACTAACATAGGGTTAATTAAGGAGGGATACCCACTAAAATTTATCTTTTTTATGGACAATGTGCGGCATTAATAGTTAATTTAAAATCCAAAGATTTCTCAATAATTCTGCTATTTCTTGAATTACATTTTATATAAGGATTTTCAATGATAAATGGCATCCTAAAATAAACGATCTGTTGTTGAAGTAAAAATTATAAAGAAGCTAAAATAGATGATTTTTATGAACTTTTGACTATACCTCCTTTATTTGTTATTTTATATTTTTATTTTTAATAAATCTTAAAAAATTAATAAGACTTATGCAAAAATCTGATGATCTTTACTGCAACTATTAATATATATATCTTTTTTTTATGCAAAATAATGAGAATATTTCCTAACATTCTGTGCATCAATACTAAGATTTGTCTTTTAATAAAAAAAAGTTCCCTCCTAAAAAAAGCCTTTTTTGGTTAGGAGTTCAAGATAAATTTAAAAAGCAACAATCAATTAGAATCAATAAGTAAAAAGCATAAATTTAAAGAATTTTTCATTACTCCATGTATTTTTATTATAATTTATTTTCAATTACATAATTAATTTTTAAATATACAATATTATTACCAGTTAAGAAAGTTCATTATAATGTTATTATAAATAAAATAAATAATATTGAATTCATTAGAAAAACCTAAAATTGTAAATTGCTGTAGCATCTTCACAAAATAACTTGAGAACAATCAGTTAAAGATTGATATGATTAATCACATCCTTCACTTAAAACAAATAATTAACAAAAAGAATATATTGTAAAGTTAGAAGATATGAGGTAGTTTAGAAATTAATTATTGTGTGTAATTAATTGAAAATATCTTAAATGAGTTGTAATGAATGAATCAATTATACATATGCGCTCGTTCGACTATGTATAACAACTTTAAGATTATCAAATTTTAAAGCTATCAATGTATTAATTTAAATTAATTCCTTAATGAAAAATGATTGTTAAGATTGAACTTCATTTAATACTAGATTTATTTTTTAAAGAAAGAAATTAGTTCCAATCGAAATGATAAATTCAGATTGAAAATATTTTTATCCACAAAAAAATTTCAAAAAATCAACATTTAAATTTGGATGAAAAGTTAAATAAGATAAATTCATAATTAAATTTTTTAACATATTTTAATTTATTTTTATAATGCTCATAATTCTCTACACTTTCTTATTTATATTTCCTTTGATTTCCAATCCCAAGTTATCCAATACTCTCCATCATCACTTAATTATCCATAAATACCAGAAGTACCAAAATCAATTGATTATTAGATTATTAAGTCACCATTTTCTTTCCTCCTAATTAAATTAACATTATTTCCATTCTTATTCACAAGAAGGCATTTTGACTTTAAGTATTATTATGGAAATAGATACCAATCACCATTTGAACCAAATTTTACAGCAATTTCCTTAGTTTTTCTATACTCTTTAGTATTACTATCCATCTCATATACATGCATTTATTCTTTACTATAAGGTTAGAATGCAAATTAATCATCATTAATAAAACATAATCTAAATCCAGG